TAGTTTATTTCTATTATGGAACATCAGAGAAAAAAAAAAAAAAAAAAAAGCGGTATATGTAAGGCACAGACAGGAATCTGAAATACAGAAATCAGAAATCAGGTCAGACCCACGGCATATCTGACCAGCATACTCTTACCAGCATAGCACAGCTGATTATTGCCCACTATATGCAGGATACTTTGAATATGCTAACAACAGAGTAATTTGAAGAAAATCAAAGTTTAGTACTCTTAGCCTTCTACAAAACTAAAACATTTAGCTAAACAGCACCCTCAGTTACCAAGTGGGTCAGATATTTTTACTTTCAAAGACCTATTTTCCAGCAAATTAAATTGTTTGGCTTGAGATTTTGCTTTTCTATAAATATAAACTTAGTTTTCACAAACAAATGAATTGAAGAATACACACTGTAAAATCCTGGAGGCCTTTACTTTGGGAAGCCTTAGAAGACACTTGCTTTGGATCAGGAACTGGCAACATGCCTGTCAGTTAAGGACATGCCTGTTTTTCTCTTACTATTTTTTTTAACTCAGAATCTTTTCAGATCTCTCTACCTGGTAGAAAATTTAAATCTATGCACAGACACTTCGAAAAATAACTTAAATTTCAATACATAAATTCTCTAAGTTTGTCCTGGAAGGACTTTCCTTGCAATTGCACCTAAAAAGCTGGTGTTAGGCTGCAGAGGATCACTCTGCTACTCAGTTGGTGAAGTACCACAGAGAATTGCAGGAAAGAATTAATTATTTTGCCCTCATATCAGGGCTGGAACAGCATACAGTTAGTGCAATTTGCTTTTATACTGCATAAAGGGAAAACAAAACATCAAATAGCTTGTCAGTTTAAAGAGTGTTTTCCCTTTGAGGGGAGGGAGAGGTGAGAAGGGATATATATGTAAATGAGGTAGAGAAACTACAGAAGAAAAAGATGCAAGCAAATAATTAAAATCTGTATCATAATGCCTACACACAACATACCCACTGAGATTACAGGACCAATATTGATTCTAGCATCAAACTTTTCAATGTTACATTTTACAACTTAATAACTTTCTTTTAAAATATGTGCTTTATGTGTAATCTCTATTATAGTGCAATGGGCCCAAGATGATTTTTCGAACAAAGATAGACTTTTATCAAACAGAAAGTGAAAACTTCTTTTAAACTCTGATCCCAGTTCTTTGATGTGATCCAAGTAGTTGAATGTCTGAGGCCACACAGTTCCACTTCAGTGTGCACAAAACCAGAAGTTCTTCTGCATGTTATGGTGCACACCTACCTAAGGAGTGATTGTAAGAGCTGCATGGCCAGATGTTAAAGACAGATTCACATTCAGGTTTGACCTGAGTAAATTTTGCAGTTTTAAGGTGACACTCCTGAAAGTATTTACTTCTGTCTTCAAAGGCAGTATTAAAAAAGGGAAATGGTCCTCTGATGTGGGGAAGGTATTTATTGCCCAAGCATTTTTACCTGGTTTTTTTTTTCCAATAAAATTGGAACTTTTGACTTGGTAAGAAAGAGGTTTCTTCAAAAAAAGGAAAAGCTGCATCTTTATTAAATCAAAACAGATTTGGACACTTGTCATTCTCCAAAACGCAGATGATTATGAGGACTAAGACAAGAAGCATAAGCTAAGCAGTGTTATTTTTTCTCTTAAGGCTCTGGCTGTCTCATATGTCAGACAGGCATGTGTATTATGCACATCCAGCAGGGGACAAAGATCAGAAATTTAAAGAAGCTGTTTGTGATTTTGGATGGGATGTGGCACACAGATGAAAGAGCAAACATTTTTCCCCTTAGTTTAATGCTAGCACTAGATTCCTAAATTAAGCCCAGCAGGAAATAAACATCCACCACAGATTTCAAAAGATATCTCACATCTTTGTATTAAAACGTGTTATTTTAAGAGTCCCAAATGTTGCATGTCTGATTTTTATTAAGTCCAGAGCCAACATAGGAAGTGTTATTTGACTTTAGTTTAAAAGCAAGCAGAAAATATCAGTGGACAATGGGATGTAAATTGCAGGAAGCCAAAACAAAATTGAAGAGTATGAGATAATGGGCCTGATGCTATTATCTGTAGGAATACTAAGGCCACAGGTTTCAAAAAATTGCTTTGATGACCTTGAGAGCTCACTCAGTCTACAGAATATCAAGTTAGCAGAATTTCCAGGGGGAGTGGAGGGACAACAGTCTCAAATTTTTGTCTTCCAAACAAACTGGTGACATGCTTCTGATATGCATTTCTGATTTCCTTCTATGCTAAATACCTACAATGTTATACTCCAAAGGAGAACAAAATTAAACATCACTCCACATGTTTCTCACACATTTCATGTATGTAGTTCTTGGTGAAAGAATAATTCTATGGCCATATACCAATGCAGTTAAAAGTTCCAATTCCGAAAATTCCTTATACAAAGTCTAAAACTACCAGGATAGGATTTTGCCCAGCTTAATCACAATACACTAAACTTTTATCTTGGAGTTTGCAGATACAATTTTTTTCTTTTCTTTCCTGCTGACTTTGATGATGTTTTGGGATTAAAACAAGGAGAAGACAGTTCCCATGAGATGAAAGACATAACTGCAAAAAAAACCACTTACTTAGAAGATTTTAAAAAAATTTAAAAAAAGAAACAATCTCTAGGAGTTTGTTATGTATTTATTTAAAGAAACATTCCCTTGAAGGGGCTTAGAGTTCAATATTTTAAATAAGTTTCTGCTTTGGAAATAAAATGGTTTTTTTAATTGCCAAGCTGATCAAAATTATAACAGGACATTCTGAAGGTAGACTAAATGTATTTTTACAGGCAGAAAGAATAGCTCCATGTTCTTCTGCACACAGTGCCAGTAATAAAACCTATGCTTCTCTCATTTATGGCCAATTACAACTCCCAGCAATCCTTACTCCAGTGACACCATTTCAACGAGGTTCCACACATCCCTCCTCTATCAGCTAACTCCCAGCTGGGCACAGAGGCAAATCCTGAGCTACAGTCCAAGAGGTTCAGCCAACCTCTCAGGCCAGATGGAGCACAGAACTTGTAGGCTCAGATATCTCTCAGAAAGGAGTAATTTATCTTCCTCTTCTAGCCAGTCCCATATTTCATAACATGTTTATTGCTTTCCCCTTCCAACTCTGCCCAAACCTCCTAAGGCCAAGGTCTTAACAAACTCCAAAAGTTATCGGGTGAAGGGATGAGGCAAAAGAGGTGCGGGGGGGGGGGGGGGGGAAGAGAAATGAAAAAAGTCTTGTTTTCTTTGGCAAGTAGGCTCAAGACTTTGACAGAAGGCAGAATTGTGTGCACATGAATGAGCTTTCTCACACTTCTGAGTCAGCTGACCCACAGGAAAAAGAAGACCTTTGGTTTCTGCTCCTGACACCACTTCTGCATGCAGTGTAAGCCAAGCTGATTTATGTTTCTATTTGTGCAGGCTTAGAATAAGCCCATACTAACTTACATACATCTTCCACATTGTGGACAAGAGTAATTTATTAGGGATAACAGGCTTTGAGATCCCTGGGTAAAAAATGCAAAGAACTACCTCAGTAGTTTCTAACTCAGGGCCTGATTGGCATCAGCAGATTCACAGACTACTTCAGGTACCTACATTCACCAGCTTGTGTCTCCAAGTTGCAGGTCTCATTTTAAGCTTCCAATACCTGCAGACTTGAGAAATCCAGCTATGTGAGGTTTTGGCTGTGAGGCTAATGAGGTATTGGATTTACTATGAACTAATGTTGAAAATTATGCAGGACCTTAAGAAATGCTGACAAAACCAGAAGCAAATACCAGTTAACATCCAGAATTCATCTCTCACAAAAGGCCAGTGAAACTACACTTAGAGCTCCCTGAGTGTTTCAACCTACAGGTGTAATAATTTGGCCCATATTTGCAAAAGATGAGTTCATCCTTTGCAAGTTTTCTGATAATATATACTGTAGTAAAAATCAAAAAATTTGTTTGCTGTTCTTTGCCAACTTCAGAATCTAGGAAAGAATGTTTCTTCCTTTCATTACATTTCTTATCTTGTTAATCTGCTTAAAGTTCATATTTCTCTACAATCCTAAAATGCAGATTTATCCTTTTATATTTGATCCTGTGTTTCATTCCAATCACTAAGCTATTATGCAGGCTTTGCCCTCAAAATTTGCCCAAATATTATGAAGCAGTAGCACCATGTTAAATTGTTCCAGAAATGTGAAATACAGAATTGTTTTTAAACATGATTTGCTTTTGTTTTCAAAAGCGGGTGTGACATAACTGCTATTTATCACACTGAGTGATGTCATTGTATTTACATGGGCTGTGGCTGTCTCTTAGACATGTGTGTGTTCAGTGATCTTGCATTTAAAACATAAAAAATACAGTTAAAATACTTTTAAAATTACAAATGTGAATTCAGTTCTCATGGAAATTCTGGTTTATTTTTAATGCTGCCCTGCCAATAGATTTGTCACTGGAAGCAATGAAATGCTAGATGTTTGGTATCATTACCCCAGCATATTCAGGAATTTAAACTGATCAAATTATGGAATTGATTTTTAAAGCTTCAGCTTAGGGAAGAAGGGAGGAGATGCCTGGGAAAAAAACATCAATTCCATCTGCAGAGTGGAATTGATTATATATTCTGGATGGCTTATGCTCTAGGACTATAAAAAATTGCAGGTGACTTTGGTTACTAGAGGAGCTATTAGTCAGGCTGAATTATTGTCTTATTTTTGTGTTGTGTAGCTGCAAATACCTCCCTCAGTTTTCTTTTTCACTCTCAGAATGTAAACATTCAGAGCTATCATGGAAAGGAAGGTCAAAAGGTTCAACACAGGAACAAGCTATTCCAGAACATAAGATTCCATCAAAACTAAACTTTTATTTTGCAGCTAGTACACAGGAGAAAGTTTACATCTCCTCTTCTATTAGCTGCTCTTAAGATAATTTCATATAAAGATATATAGATACATCAAAATTTAAAAAATATATCCAAAGACTGTACCACAGTGTCCAGAGAAGGTCTTACACCCTTCATTTGATGCTTACACACCAAAGACCAAAAGGATTCACGGGGCAGCAGGAAACTATGAAAACAGAATTTAAGAAGATATTAGAATTCTCTAATACTATCATATCTATGTAATGGGAGATACACAGACTTAAAATCAGGCCATTTAGGAAGTCTAACAGTCTTCATCTTTGTCCAAAACACACATCATAACTAATACTAAAGTTCACTGAAAGAACAAAATAAAAGAAAAAATATAAACTATTTTTCTTTTTTTATTTTTCCCATCATATACTGACATCCAGCCCCTTAGGACTTGACTACAGTCTTTCCACAAGATGCCATTTCCTTTCAATACTCTGAATCAACCATGATAGTTGAACAAGTGATCATTAATTATTTGGCCTTACTCTTACTATTCAGTGTGAAGTCCCATGTCTTGTTTACCGTGTACTGTTCAAAGCCTGATTTGAACAATGAATTATTCATTTGCTTGTGGGTTTTCCTACAGTGCTCATCACAACATCTGAATGCATTACAAACATTAAGTGACTCATTTTCACATCATCTTTGTGTGATGATATGAATGATATCATTGTATGCACATTACAGAAGCAGGGGCAAGACACAGGGATTGTAAGGCATCTGTTAATTCCAAGTGCACAAATGGAGGCTTGCAGGGTAAGTTTCTTCAAAATACTTACATTTGTCACACTATTCTAGCCAGCTTCAGTAGCACATGTGGATCATAACCAGAGGTGGTCTCAGAACAGGACTCTAGAAAATGAGGAGGACAATCAGAATTCCCTTATCACATGAAAACATTTTGGTTTTAAACTACTCTGTACATTTACATAAACTCCTCAAAAATGGAGACAGTGGAGGGAAAGAAATTCTTAGAAGAAGCTGTTATACTGCAGAGGTATAAAAGAAGATAAACACAAAAATCTCAGATACAACAGTTGCACCAATGCACAATAGGAATTTTCACTGTGCTGCTTTTTCAGAGACATATTTCAGAGGATATCTCTTTTTTATTAGACATAGGGGAAATGGGGTGATGAAGGATGAAGAAAAGACTGAGGTGCTTAATGCCTTCTTTTCCCGTCTTTTACAGTCAGACCAGTTGATCTCAGGCTGCCCAGCCCCCGAGCCTGAAGACAGGGAGCAGAACAAAGCCCCCATTTCCCCAAGGGGAAATGTTCAGTGATCTGCTAGGCCATTTTGACATGTGAGTTCATGGAGCCAGATGGAATCCACCCAAGGGTACTGAAGGAGTTGATGGGGGTGCTCACTGATTCACTTTCCATCATTTACCAGCAGTCCTTGTTAACTGGGACATTCTCATTGACTGGATGTTAGCAAATGGGATGCCCATCTACAAGAAGGACCAGAGGATCTGGAGAATACAGGTCTGTCAGCCTAACTTTGAGGCTGGGGGAGGTCATGGAAGACCAGCTTGAGTGCCATTATGCAACATTTACAGGATATCCAAGGGATCAGGCTTAGCCAGCATGGGTTTATGAGAGGCAGGTTCCCCTTGGCCAAACTTATCTCCTTCTGTGACCTGGTGATGAGCTTGCTGGAAGAGGGAAGGTGTGTGGATGTTGTCTACCTGGATGATAGTAATGCCTTTGCCACTGTTTCCCACAGCACCCTTTTGGAGAAACTGGATGCTAATGGATTGGATGGGTGCACTGTTCACTGAGTAAAACACTGGCTGGATAGCCAGGCCCAGAGAGCGGTGGTGACAGGCCAGTCCTGTTTAGCATCTTTGTTGAGGACCTGGACAAGAGCCCTGAGAGCACCCTCAGTCAGTTTGCAAGCAACACCAAATCGATGGGGTGGGAGTCTCAATCTGGGGGAGGTAGGAAGTCTCTACAGAAGGATCTGGACAGGCTGGATTGATCAGCTCAGGCCAGTCGTATGAGGTTCAAAAAGGCAAAGCTCTGAGTCCTGTACTTGGGTCACAACAAGCCCAGGCAGTGCTACAGGCTGGAGCAGTGGCCAAAAAGTTGCCCAGTAGAAAAGAACATGGACATTCTTGTTGACAGCAGCTGAACATGAGGCAGGGGGTGTCCAGGTGGCCAAGAAGAGCACTGGCATGCAGGCCTGTATCAGCAATAGTGTGGCCAGCAGGAGCAGGGAAGGGATGGTCCCCCTGTACTTGGCACCAGTGAGGCCACTCCTCGAGTTCTGTGTTCAGTTCTGGGCTCCTCACCACAAGACATTGATGGGCTGGAGCACATTCAGAGAAGGGCAATGGAGTTTGGAAGGGTCTGGAGCACAAGTCTGTTGAGAAGCAGCTGAGGGAGCTGGGAGTGTTTAGCCTGGAGAAAAGGAGGCTCAGGGAGTCCTCCATTGCTCACTACAACTGCCTGAAAGGAGGGTTTAGGTAGGTGGAGTTGGTCCACTGCACAGCCAGGAGCAGACTGCCATCAGAAATTTAAAAAGGCTTGGGACTGTGTGTTTAAACAATAGGGACCATCTTTAATCTTTCCCTGTTGGATGTAATTCACTCAAACACATCTGACCTCATTTAAATATAATTAAAAGTCTCTACATAGTAGTTGTAGGTATAGTTTCTATTATGACAACTTCTTCCACAGTTTGATCCTTTTCCCAGTGTCTAACCCTGACAAAATCATACATCCAGACCATCTGCCATTTTACTCAGCATTCCAATAAATGGCTGTCCTTACACAGGGTTTACCTTTCTACAAGTGAAAACAGTTCCAAATGGTGTTAAAATTTCCTAAGTGGCAGACATAAAGACAAAGCTGCTGTAGTGGAAAAAATCTTTTCACAATTACTGTACTACAAAAATAAAGGGGTTTCTGCTTCAATTCTAATAGCCATGGTGTTTCCATGAGAAATACAGCTGGATATGCAGGGCAGCACCTGTTTTGTGTTCAGCAGCTGTAACACAGCCCAACAGGCTATTAGTTATAGACCAACACCGATTTTTCAGAAGTGACCCAGAGCCTGTTCTCAGTTCTGCAAAAGGTCTCTTACAGACTGTGAACAAGTTATTGGAAGATATTTTCTTTCTTGCCTTCAAAAATCTCATTTAATTACTGTAATCCAATTCAAATTATAGAAGAAGGGCAAGCGGATTTGTCCTACACACACTTGCAGCATCTTTCATTCTTTGATGCTAGTTTTTTTATGGTTTCCCAGATAGCCTGGGAAAACTCCTGAATTCAGTAATCCAAATGAATTAGCTACAAACCCAAATGGCTCCTCTAGTCTTTGGAGAAGTCCCCATTCATCCTTCAGGAAAACAGGGTTCAGCACTAAAAGTAGCGGTGCTACCACAGCAGAAACAGGCAGTTCTGGGCTTGTGGCTCTCTGTGAAAGACTTGTGAAATCACCTGGGATGCCTGTCATACAGCTGGCAGTATCACTGACACACACCAGACATCACTGCCAGATGCACAAGTTAAGTCTGAATTAAAGTCTAGTGTGAGGGTTTTTTCCCCCTGTGAGAAGGCAGAATGTCTAGGAGAAAAGGTTGTAAGGAATTCAGCAGGGAGGCACATAAGACAGTCTCCCAGCGTTTATGTATTATCATTTTGTTGACTCCAATGCTTCCATTTCTGTCAGTCACTGGTTTTAAAGAGGCTGAGTTTAAAATGCTAACCACTGCTGAATTCACAGGCCAGCCATCAGACTACACTGACACTAAACCTGCTGGAGAGGAGACAGCATGACACCATGGAAGAACTATGTCCCCATGGCCATTTCTGCTCAGGACTCGAGGTAATGCCCAACTCTTACTAATTCATGTCACTCATGGTCACTGTGTCTTCTATAAAATTTTCTGCCCTTTTTTTTTTTGTCTCATTACATATTACACTAAACTAGAAGACACTTTGGCTGAAGTAGATCAAAAAAGTAAAATTTGTTTTGGGAAATAAACTTACATCAAAAATTCAGTTCATCCCAATTTTAATATAATATACACTCCTAACCCCACTACAAGCTTTAGGCTTGTTAGGAGACTGTGGGGATTTTCCATTTTTTATTTTCTTCTTATATCTGACTGTTTCAGAAGCAAAGTTGACATGAGTTACCAGTGAACAAGCCCAGGAAGAAATCAGATCTGAGTACTTCCTGAGTACTCCAGAAGAATAGAGAAGCTAAAGCAATAAACATGAATTGAGGGCTTTATGAGGTCCCAAAGACTATAGGCTGTGCTTAAGCCTGAAAGAGAAGAGAAAGGTAAAGTAGTTCATGACTCAAGAGTGTAAGCTGGTTTACACAAGAGTCACCAGTAAGTAGTTTTAACTGGAACAAACAAGGCAAATACAGTTCCACTGTAGCTGTCTATGAAACACCAATTAGTTTAGTACATTGAGATAAAAAATCAGCAGCACAGGCATTTGACAGTTACAAATCATGTAAAAATTGTATTTGTGCTGAAATCTGAATTTTCTGTTACTTTATGTTCAACACAACATTTGTAAACAAAAGAATTTCTTAAAGGAATTCAAATACCTGCTAATTCATAATTGTGTAAATAGTTTCACTATGCACTGGTATTCAGTAATAAAAAAATCATTTTCTAATGCAGTCCTACTCTGACAATAGCATTTATCTCATTTAAATATTCTATATTGCACATATATTTTTTCCCTTCAATACATAGTTTAGGTTATGGTTTATGTCACACCATCATATAACATAAATCACCTTCTGCTTAGGGAGATAACCAGAGGATGCAGGAATAAAAAAGGACCATTTCTTTCTATCTACTTAATTAAAAAATTTGTATTTGAAATAATCCAACAACATTATTAGAAAGAAATTTATATATTGGCCTATTAATTTGACAAAAAAAATGTGTAGGCAGTTAAAATATTGCAAGCAATATCAGATGGTTTTAATAATCTACATGGAAAATATCCATATAAATAAATGTGAATAAAATAAATAAGATAAATACATAAACCTCAGGAGTTACTAAGTTTGAATACAGTAATTTTGCAATTGTGATTAAAAAAGAAGCCTAGGTCCCACGGCTGTGACAGACTGAGAGCTACAGAAACTTTACCCTTCCCCTCAGCAGCTGCTACAAGACCACTCTAATGGCTCCCTCAGGCTGGGTTCAAGGAGCAACAGCAACACCATTGGAAAGGCTGCAAAATTTGATACCTTCTTTTGTACCCTACTTCCCTCAGGCCAAACTGCAGAGCTTTCACATGAAGGGGGGAAGAGACTAAGAAGGAGACTTTTGTCTGTCTTCTACACAACAAATAAAATGGATTTTCAGTCTCACAACAGAGAAAAACACCTTCCTGTCCCGTCACAGGCTGCAAGGCTGTGGCCCCTACTGAGTAAGCCCCTGAAGGAAGAAGCTTTTCATTAACTGTCAAAGTAGTAACACCGCTAATCCGTGAACATTCAAACCACACCAACAGGAATGAGAGTGGCCTAAAAATCTTTCTTTTTAAATAGCATTTTCAACACATTTTTTAAAACATGCTTATGCATTCTCTCTATCTTCACTTTCCTGAAGTTTTTTAATAAAATTCAGTCTTACTGTCAATTTTTTTCACCCCTCTCCCCAAAACAAGAAGTACTTGAAAGAAACTGCTTTTTATAAAAAAGAACAGCAAAGCTTCACAAAATTGTTCCTCTCCAGGTGCAAAGGTCACAAATATAAACCAATATCTAGAGGCTACAGTCCTAGACTGAAGCTAGACTAAGTGCTTTGCAAAACACCCACTTCATATTTAAAATTAAATTTCTTTAAAAAGCCAGCTAGTGACTGA